CAGACTAACACACAGAGCTAGGAAACTAGGATCTTTCCAAATGCTGTTGATCTTCAGGATGATGGTAGGGGAAGAGTAGGCTCCCTCTCTGGAAATTCCAATTTAGTGTCAAGTTGGAGGTGGATCCTGTGCTGCCTGTTTTAAAATTTCCAGGTGATTTTGATGATTGGTCAGGTTTGGGATCCATGCATTTAGCACAAATTGGTCACTTTGTATGTGGACACCCAAGGGTCTCCTCTGTGACCAAGTGAGCACTGGGACCCACCTTAGTCCAGTGTCCTCTACAGCCATCCTGTAGATGTCCATCTGTCCTGTTGTCCATCTTTGGGGCTTGTTCTAATGAAGAGCCCACAGAAAGCGCCCGTGGTCCCAGGAGCCAGATAGCAGGCAGATGGAGCTGGGGCAGGCAAGGGGTTCTTCTAGGAGCTGAGGTTTTCTTTACAGCAGCCTGGTGAGGTGCTCCTGCGTGTGGCCTGCACCTGTCCTCTTGGGACTTGTGCCCCAAGTTGATGCCTGTACTTTCTGCCATTCTCAAAACTCACTGCCGTCGAGTCTATGCTGACTCATAACAACCCTCTAGGACAGGGTAGAACTGTGGGTTTCTGAGACTGTAACTCTTCACGGGATTAGAAAGCCTTCTCTTTCTCCTGTTGAACCGCTGTGGGTTTCAAACCACCGACCTTATGGTTAGCAGCCCAACTAACTCGTAATAACGATGGCACCAGGGCTTCCACAAAGCATGCAAATGACCAACTAGCTCATCTGCGCCAGGCTCCTGAGTCTGGTCTGAGATTGTATTCTCTGGCACATGAACTTCTCGACAAGATTTTCTGAGTTTTCATCTCTGTGATAATCTAACAAGAGTAATGGTTGACCATGCCCAAAGTATTGCCACAACTTTTATAGCCTGAGTGAGATGTTATGTCGATGCTTGTCTATGTACACAGAAGGACTATTATTGACCGAGTAGAGTCAAGAGATAGGACAGTGAACCAGCACACCATACACAGGCATGTTGGAGAAAGACTTCAAAAGGCCCTGGGCATGCAGCCAGACCACCACCATTTTGTTAATGAGGATCATATTACATTCATCTTGCTCCTTCAATGTTACTGACCCTCACGATAGTATTTTTATGTCATTTGTCAATTGGTTGGTATTTTACCTCAGCAGAAGAACTATATGTTCTTTGGTTATATGAGAAGGATTCAAAAAGTTCATGGAAAACTTCCATTATCTTTTAATCCCATCTTCTCCCATAAACTTGTTGAAGCTCCCTCACACAAAATTAAATAATACTAAAATCATTTAAGCAATGATTGAAAGCCTACAAAAAATTTTCTTTTGGAAGGGGCCTGGGTGTTATTGGGCATTTTCTGGCTAGTACAAAGAGTGTGCTTGGCTGCTAATCCAAACGTTGATGTCGTGAGTCTGTCCAGAGGTGCCTCAGAAGAAAAGCTAGTGGTGATTTACCTCTGGAAAAAAAATCAGCCATCGAAAACCCCGTGGAACAGGGACAAGACTTGGAATCGACTTCATGGTACTTGATTTTAGTTGGTTTGTGATTTAGGATGGAGAATCACTACTGGGTGGGGGGATTACAACTCGATGTCATGAATACCAAAATCCTCACAACTGGACCAATAGGTAATATGATAAATGGAGAAAAAAAATGAAAGTTGTCAAAGGATTTCAGTCTGTTTGTATCCACAGTCAAGGCTCATGGAAGCAACAGTCAAGAGATCAAATGACAAATTGCATTGGGTAAATCTGCCACACGGGACCTCTTCAGAGGATTGAAAAGCAACGGTATTACTTTGAGGACTAAGGTGTGTCTGACCTAAGCCATGGTTATTTTCAGTTGCCTCATTTGCATGTGAAAGTTGTACATTGAATAAGGAAGAACAAAGAAGAATCAATGTGTTTGAACTGTGGTGCTGGCAAAGAATATTGAAAATACCATGGACTGCCAAAAGAACGAACAATTCTTTCTTGGAGGAAGCATGGCTAGAATGCTCTTTAGAGGCAAGAGTGGTAAGACTTCATTTTTATGAACTTTGGCCATGTTATCAGGAGCCCCCTGTGCCTGGAGGAGGACATCCTGATTAGTAAATTGGAGGGGCAGTGAAATAGAGGAAGACCCTGAAGGAGATGGTTTGACCTGTGGCTGGAGCAATGGTCTCAAACATCGGAACAATTAGGATGATGGCGCAGGACTGGGCAGTTTTGTTCTGTTGGGCATGTGGTTACTATGGGTTGGAACAGATGCTGTGGTATCTCACAACAACAATGGGGGCTGGGGGTAGGGAACTGGACATTTGCTCTAATTGGTGCAGCACTTTTGACGTCCCCTTCTCTTATTTTGCTTTCTAACTTGCTAGTGGCCTTGGAGGAAGGGTGTGTAGCAGAGGAAGTTTTGTTAAGAGACCCCAGGGCACACCTTTTTCACACAATATAGGAAGCCTGTACATAGGAGTAGTTATGGGAACATTTCAGAGACTAATGGGGAAAGGAAGAGTCAGAAACAGAACCTCCTGAAAACCATTGGTGGTCAAACTGAAAAAGGGGGCATGATAGCCACTCAGCCTCATTATAGTCAACTTGAAACTTCTGTAAAAGGAGGTGGCACTATCTGGCCTCATGTGTTTTCAAAAGGTCTGTTTTCAAGTGACCCTACTTATGTCACTAAGAAATTAGGAGTGAAGAGTTTGTTCATGAATTTGAAATCTGACTCCAACCACCATTTGGAGTTCTGCTAAGGCCAGACCCCATCTGCACTGGACTTTGTTGACTGAATCTGAGGTTCTTCGCACCGTGTCTCACTAGATTTTCTTATACCCACACTCCCTAGTTCTTGCCTAAAGAAACGATTTGTTTCCTGTGGCAGAAAGCTGCCCCGGTGTGTCTAGTCTTTTGGAGAGGGTTTTTGCTGAGAAGACATCTCACCCAACCTCACCTGATGGTAGTAGGTCACAGGCAACCCAATGGTGAATTTCATGGGGACTACAGCCAGTCCTCTCTTCTTCCAGGAATTCTTTTTGTTAAATTCCTCTGCAGCCTGTTTCCTGGCATAGAATGAAGACTTCTCAAGACAGTCTTTCCAGCATCTTCGCAAGGGCTCTGGATCAAATGTCTCCTTATGGGCTGTTTTGCTAATTCGCTTGTACATGTTAATTTCTTTAACCTGAAGGAGGAAAAACATCAGATGTATTTTAAAGACAGATGTGTGTTTTATGTGTGGAACATGCATTTTGTTAGATACCAGGTATGAAGAAAGCCTTTAAATGGCTGTAAACAGGCAGGCCAAGAAGCCTGGTGGTGAAACTGGGTAAGTGCTTGGCTGCCAACCAGAAAGTCAGTGGTTCAAATCTACTCAGCAACTCTATAAGACAAAGACCTACAGAGCTGTTCCCCTAGAGACTAACTACAGTTAGGAAAACCCTTGGGAGCACATCTATCATTTGCTGGGTTCTCTGTGAGTTGGAATTCACTTGACCTCACCCAACAGCAGCATCAATATTCAAGGGCAAGTGTATGTCTATCAATTAATGGTACACCACAGTGTCCCAGGCTCTAGGTTATTATCTCAATTAAACTTTGCCATACCTCAGAGGACTATTAGGTGTGTCATTATTGGTCCTGTCGTGAGCTTTGCTCATGGCGAGACAAAATGCTCTTATCTTAAAATACAAATCTTCCGTGACAGAAATTTCTTCCCTGGCTTTTTGATTATTGCTGGTGGTCTTTTCCTTCTTCCACATTATTAGTGTTTTTATCTGTATACTATTATGTATTTACCCTCACCACTTTAGCGTGATTTGGGTTTTTGTTATTTTCTGTTGGGTCTACCAGCTGTGAAGTGGATGCATAATGATAAGAATGGGTACAAGGGGATGTAGGCACACAGGGGTGTGTGTGAGGGAAGATATGGAGGGAATGGGGATTTCGGGAGTAATCCCAATGAAGATGAATGATAGTAGGGAGGGAATGTTCTAAAATTGATGTAGGACCGATTATACAATTCTCTGTGATATGATTGAATGATTGAACTATTGAACAGTGTGATATGTAACTTGTCAATAAAATTGTTGGAAAAAGTTATAGTCTAAAAAAAATAAAGTTATAGTCTTGGAAACCCACAGGGGCAGTTCTACCTTTTCCTAGGGTCACTAAGAGTAAGCATCGACACAATGGCAGTGGAAGAATTCCCTCTGACCAGAGTCCAGGGATGGGAATAGCCCGGTTATCAGGCAGAGAGCATTATAAAGTAAATTATGGCAGGTGTAGTTACATTAAATGTAATACACCTTGTCATGTGATCTCCCTCATGACC